CCAAGTCCCCCAATGTTCCACGTTATACGTGGTCAGCATCAGGGCACTCGGGCTTATGAACAATGAGCCAAGAAACCCGAAGTTGCCAGATGTGTGGGAGAAAATAGATGGTGACTCAAATAAAAACTCACCAATTCAGAGAAAATTTAAACCCCCTCCCCGCTGAGTCATCTGGCTCACTCCAGGCCCGATCGCCTGGCCTTGGCCTGAGAAGGGCCTTTGAGATCACCCTGATCCATCAACAACCTGCCAGAACACAAAACCACTTACCTCCGTCCGTGAGCCGAGGCCAGCATCTTCCGACGGACAGAGGTCCTCTCTGGCCCTTCGAGAATCAGGCACGCACTCGGCGTCCCTGCCCAGCAAGCACTTACTACTTACTACCCATCGAGGCCCCAACCTGGTACCTGGGCCACACCGACTCCCCCACAAACCATGAGAATCTCTGAATCTCCTTGATCAAAAACGAAAGGCCAGTTACTGCACACTCTTATTTATACTGCACTTCATCTTCTATAAAGATTTAAGGCAACGAGTGAACCCACATTAAATTACCTGGCTCAAGATCACCCAGCAAAAATGAAGTTACCGAAAGAACACCCCTCCAGTGTTCCATGGGCTGTTCCAGACCAGGTTACTTACTGACCCCAAAGTACCTATTTTTCCTTTCCGATGTAGTTCCTTACTCCTTCATTTAATTAGCACGAATGCCTACTATGTGCAAGGTATTGTGAGCTACAGAGATGAATAGCTCTGTGGATGAATGGTCTCTGGCATGGAAAAGATTAACAAGCTGTGGTTGCAAAGACAACCCTGAATGAGACGTTAGTCAGAATACTAGTAGGTGTTGCCATGGCCTGTGAGGCCGAGCTGCTGGGTGGGTAGGAGAACTAACCAATTCTGGAGTCAGTTATGACCTGAGCTTAGATCCTAATTCTACCACCTACCAGCTGTGAATGAACCTCTCTGAGCCTCAGTTTCTCCACCTGCAAAATGGAGTTAACATGCCTTCTCTCCCAGGGTCACTGAACCTACAGCACTCAGCACAGGGGCCCAGCACATGGAAAGCCGCCAACAAAGGCTTTGTATAGGTGGTTTTTTATAGACATTGAGATTAAGGAGCGATCAGAGTGTACAGAAAACTATCCTGAAAATCCTCCACGACAGAGAACATAAAAGATGGACGGAATGTGAATGTGTAAGAGAAGCATGCGTTCCAGACAAGAGTCCAGAAAAGAGACTACGGCAATAATTCTAGCAGCAGCAAATATGCACTAACTCGATGGTAGCCATGGGAATGCAGGAACACATGAAGATTTGAGGACGGTAAGAGTTCCTTTTCTTAATTTTCTTAAATAGTTCTTAATTTTCCACTTGCTTCTTCGTCTTCCCAGCAACTCAATGCTACCTCTTTAACTCCCTCACAAAAGAGGCATTCCTTTCCTGTTCCCATTCCTCACTTCATCCCTCCTTCCCACCTCCATCTGACTTTCTCTTGGGTTTGGACCCTAAAATCTGCAGATGAAAAAGGGTTTGGACCCTAAAATCTGCAAATCCCGGGCCTCTTGCAGAAATCACTACCACAATTCTGCTGTCATTTCTTAACAAACTACTGGGAGCAAACCCATGCAAGTTTCCCAACCACCATACCGTTTCAAGGTGGCAGACGGAACCACAAACTGCCAAAGAGGGTCTCACATTACTTACTAGAGCGCTAAACGCCGTTAAAAATCATTAGCCTCTCTGAAAGACAGCTTCAAAAGGTAGCACCGTCACCTATATCAAGAGATTGGCTTGAAATAGGCACACCTACCCATCCCCCCCACTCTAAAATAAAACCATTTGCATAGCAGTAGAAGACTGGCCACACAGGAACTGGCTGTCCATAGTTTTTTGTTTAAAGCACAAGACTTTTGCTAGGTGGAAAGGTCAAATTCACCAACTATTTTTCTATGACTAATGCACCTCTTAGCCTCCTCCTCCAACCTCCAGCTCCTGGATGTTCCCAGAACCACATCACAAGGGAACGAGTCACCTCACCTTTCACTACGAAAGGTTTGCTCGGCCGTAAGTACCATCCGCCAGCTTCTCCTTCTCAACCCTGGAGAGGGCATGAGAGCCGGTGAATTTCCTCGGCACTCCACTCCAAGGGCACTGACTTTTCAGTCACGGCAGAATTTCATCACATTGAATAGTCTCAAATCCAGGCCGCCTCCAGCTGAGCCTCTAACTCCTCGTGTTACAGGGGAAATTTTCACCATAAAGATATTCACAGTAATGGGATTTGCCCACTTGTGAAACTCAACCAGATGGGTTCTGGTCTCCTAGGCGAGTTTCAAACTCTGCACGCAGGGGACGCCACGGCCTGGCCAAGGGGGTGGGCCCCGGTGACGTTCAGAAAACCAACTTCCATGCCCCAGAGTTTGGGGACTATTCCTTCCACTTCATGCAGAAGCGTAAGACAAAAATAGACCGCCTCTTACGTGCATGTGTGCGAGCATGCGCGCACGCACACACGCACACATACACTGAACCTTCTGCAAGGCCAATGGAAGCAGACTGAAAGGAGGCTGGGAAGACCTTCAGATATTTCCATCTCCCCCCAGAAGATCCTAACCTGTTTCATCTGATCAGAATGTCTGACACCAACCCAGATTTGGAGCCCTTTTTTTTTTTTGAGTGGGCTGCCATGTATGATGGGACATGGGGCAGGCATCTCTCCTATAAGCATCTCATACATTTCAAAAAACTCATCCAGGTAGACGGTGAATGATAGAACAGAAAGCATTACAATGTGATGACATTAAATATGTTCATAAGAATATTTTGAACACAGGATTATGGACTAGCCAAGGACTTCAAAGTATCCATCATCTCAGTAGACACAACATGAGCCCCCCACCAAAACAAACATAAAACAAACACCCAAAACATAATTTGAAAGATCACTTCCTGGAGAGTAATGCGAAAGTCCATTTCACCAGATTCTCACTCAACACCCCTTCTACTCCAAAACACAAATTTCCTATTTGCTTTATTTTTCTTTTTGGCTGTGGTCCGTTTTTTCTTAAACCAACACCAAAGAGGCTCAGTCCATTCCCAGTTAACTGTCCACTCTGAACATAAACCGCACATGGGTTGAGCCCTGCTCAACGCCATTTAATTCTTCAGATAGGTATCTAACACACACTTTTGCATAATTACAACATTGTGAAATACCATTCACCAAGTTAGAACGGTGCTGGGAGGAGGGCACAGGGCGAGGGCAGCAAGGAGGTGGGCAGAGAAGAAAGGCAAGGAGAAAACAAAACCCACTGCCAATTGGCTGTGTATTTGCTTTTGGTCCTAAAGAAGTTAGAGCTATCCAACCCTGTAATTATTGCCAGGATTAAAATTTTGTTACTCACGTAATCATGAAAGGCTTTTGCTTCACTTGAATGTTCACAAGTGTCTCGCCTTTCAGGAGCTGCACAGTAAAGGTCCCAAAATACGCTGCAAGTTGAAAATAAAATAAGATCAGATTACTAATTATGACTTGTGTACACAACGGCAAGTGCACAATGCTCAGTGTTAACGGCACCACGTCTCCCCAAGGCTCAACCCCCTCTTTTCCAGCCTTCATTGGGCAAAGTTGGCCTAGAAAACAAAATGGACCTAACCCCTCTTGTAGCAAACCAGCTATTTGTAATAAGAGTAATAGTTCTTATTCATCAGGCACCTACTGTGTGCTAAATGCCTTACACTTAAGACTCTGCTTGTGACGACCACAGTGCTTAAGACAGGAGATTCACCCCCACTTTATACAGACAGGGAGCACTGAAGCTCAGACACGTTGGTACAACCCCCCCCCCCCCCATGCCCAGGCAGACAGGTAGGAATCTGTATGCGAATCCCGGCGTCTGGTCTGTGCTCCTTCTGTCGCACCCTTAACCCCAAATGGATGAATTTAGTCAAAAGGTTAAATTGCCAAAGTCAGGCCTGTGATTCATAAGCATAGCAAACTGGGTGGCTCTGCCCATAAAGGAAACCCACAGGTTCTTAATCCAGGAGCCCATACCCCCACTCTGCTGGACCTCACCCCCACTCCCAGCCAGGCCCTCCCCCAAGTTATTCTTATGCAAGAACCACTCCACCCCACCCAACCAAAGAACAAGTATCAGTTAGCCAAAGGTCAACCAGGTATCTCGTCCTTTCATATTGAAATAGAGAGCCCTCCTCAAAGAGGCACCTACCCACGGGTCCAGCAAAGGAGGGATGTGGAGGGGGTGGGGCGGGAGCTATCCCAGCCTCATCCCCCTCCATGAGTTATAGGGTCACTCCAACTCTTCGTATTAAATGAGAGCATACGTACAAGTCCTTTACCGACCAGTAAAACCCTCTGCAAACACAGGGTCGTCACTGCCTTAACATGAGGCCTTGGAAACCCTCTCCAAGGCCCAGGGGTGGAAAGGAACTGAGGGGTAAAATGGGCACCAGCGCAGAAGTCTGATTCCTCCTACAGTGCTCCTGCCCCTGCTGCCAACAGCCAGCACAGAAGGAACCATCTCAGCCGCAGCCCTGCCAGCCATCAGGCAAGCATCTCACTCAAGGTGTATGAACCCCACAGCGTGGCCCTCTCTGGATCAGCTCCACCACTTCCTCCCACCCCGAAGGCCGTGATCATCTGCTCAGTGTCAAATCACAAGGCACTTTCTAACAAGACCACGACCTGAGCCCAGAACCACAGACAAGGCGGGAGCCCTTTCAGGAAGATTATGGATAGAACAGGAAAATCGGGACTTCTTCTAGCTGCAGAGGGGGGCTCGAGAACATTCCTCTCTGCCCTCTAAAGCTGCACATATTTGATTAACTCCTCCACACGCCAAAGATTTCTAACATTGCAAACTCCCCAGTCCCTTCTAAGTAACTTTTACTCACAACCCTAGGTTTCTAATGGTCAGGCCCGTCACACCAATCCACACGCCTCTCCAAAAACCACCACAGAAAACCATCACCCACTCCGACAGGTCGACTCCTTCTGCCACACCAAATGCCTCCAACACTGGGCAGTCCCGAGGTTGGCTGAAGTCATGAAAAACTCATTTTCCCTGCACAAGGTAGAACAGACACTTCATCCCCCTGCATTTCAAAGAGACCTGAAACAGTAACCTGAGCCGGCGGTCAGGTACACGCGCTAAGATCCCAAGACATGGCACTCCATTTTCCTGAACTCCACCAAAATATCAAAGCCCCTCTGCTCTCTTTTCCTTTTCAAAAGGATGTCAAAGACTCCGCACCGATCAGTCACACAAAACGTCCAGGTCTTCCTCCACAGCAACTGGCTCCCCCTGACCGTAAGCCTCCCTTCAGCCTGCAGGCAACCTAAGACCAGACGGAGGGGGTCCCACACCAGCAGGACCCAGGGGCCTGGGGGAGGGTCACAGATAAGAGAGCCCCCAACGACCAACTAAGGGTACTCTGTGAGGTCGACAGCGACAAGTTAAGGTTTTTCAGTAAAAGGAAACTTTGTGGTTTTAGGGATGCTGGGAGGGGGAGCCCACAGAGGAGAGGAAGGTCCAGTCAGTCTGAATCAGTATCTTTAAAGGAAGTTGCACCCCCTTCTTGCTTTTTCTCAGGGTGCCTGGAAAAGGCCACAATGGTCTCTCTCTCTCTCTCTCTCTCTCTCTCTCTCTCTCTCTCTCTCTCTCTCTCTCGGTTTTGAGTTCATAGTAAAAGAAAAAAAGAAAGGATAGGCCAGTTGTAAAACAGACCTGGTATCCCCCTCCACCCCGCCCCACCCCCACTCCCTCTAATTAAAGCAGCATGCAGAATTGACAAAAATCCTTCAAGGTTTTTTGAGCCTGCCTAGTGGCCGGGAGTGAGATGGAAAAGTAAGGAGTTTCTATCCAAACACCAGGCATGATTTAGTAGGCTCTCAATAGGAGGGGAGAGAGGAGGCAAAAACTTCAGGCAGCAGCCTCTTCTGCCCTGTTCACACCGTCCTGCTCCGAGTGCCCCGCTCCGTGCACCCCGGAGGGGAAGGCTTGGTGGGGTCTGCTCCTGGCTCCCGCCTTTGTTCACTGGGACCAGACAAAACAAACACACACACACAAAACTATCACAGAAACTTACCACCACCACGAATGCAAAAACCCAGGTGGTTCGCCCAACGTGATGTTTTTTTCCCATCGAATCTAGAGAGGAGAGAGCAGAGATCGCTTAGAGGAGCAGAGGGAAGGGGTGGGCCGGGGGCTTCCTGGAGCCAAAAGGCTGTGAAGACCAACTAACAATAAATGCCAAAAGGTGATAAAAATTCAAAATGGTGGCCACAGTGGCTGCTCCTGAAAACAAAGGCTCTCCAAAGAGTGGGGAGGAAGGGGTGTCTAGAAATTGGAGGACGGGGGGAGTCCCACTCACCTCTGACAAGAAGGTCTGTGCAGATTTCTGTGCTCCGACGTGCAGTAAATACTCGTAGACGTATAAAGCTAACCTGGAGCGCGGGCAGGGGGCAGAGAGAGGAAGGTGTCAGAGCGCAGGGCACTGCTCCGGACCCCGCCAGCGGCTCCCAGCCCTGCCCGCGCTGTCCCATTGTGGCCCCGGCCGGAGGGGAGCCGCTCGCTCGGCCCTGCCTGGGGCCGCGGGGGAAGCAGCCAGGGGCTGGGTGTCCGGGGACGCGGCACCGCAAACCGTGGGGACCTGGAGAGGAGCCCCCAAACTTGAACTTCCCAAGTGGCGTCGGGGCCAAACCCACCCAAGTCTCGCAAACTCGAAAACCACCCGATCCCATAGCTTCCCTCCTATTCTCGACACACTCCTGGCGACCCTCTGCCCAGCTCTCCGAGGGTCCGGGGACTCGGTGCTGGACTCCGGGGCGCCTGGTGCGCTCTAGAGTGGGTGCTTGATGCCGCCCTCACTACCTCCCCCCCCCAAAAAAAAACAACTGTCCCCCAAACCTAGGGACAAAACGGCGCCGCCGTCCCTGCCCAGCCCGGCGCCCGGGAGGGCACGGGAGCAACGGCTAGGCCCAGGGCATGGAAGGGAGAGCTCTCCCGGCCGAAAAAAGCCCCCGTTGCTCACTTCCTCACGCCGCGGGGGGATAAAAGGAGCCTTCCGGGGCTTCGGGAAGCCACGCGCCCCTTGGCCCGCACCCGGGGTGCAAAGTTGCGGCCACCCCCGGGGAGCGTCCTCGAGTGGGGGGGCCGGCCTGTCTCGCTTCTGGGATCT